GTGTGTGTGTATGAGTGTATGTGCGTGTGTGTGTGTATGTATGTGTGTGTGTGTGTGTGTGTGGGTGTGTGTATGTGTGTGTGTGTGGGTGTATGTGTGGGTGTAACCTTTCTCACATTTCTACATGAAGCCAACACAAATGATTTGACTGGAGCTCTTTTAATCACTTCTTCTTCTGTGGTGCTTTAACCAGCTGGTAACACCAGACAGGTGTAGGGAGAGACAGACAGACAGGTGTACCGTGTTTCCAGGTGAGCTGCAGCGCTGCAGTCTGAATTTGCTGTGGTTCTTCTTGCTCCGACTCTTGTTCTTCCTGATCTCCTCACAGCGCTCATAGTCAGACAGGTCCAACACCTCGTCAGCTCGACCCAACTCCTTCACCTGCAGGGGACACACAGGTTAATGCTAAGCTGCGCTAACACATCCAATGAGAGTGATGTCTATCTGAACACCTGAGAAGAAGAGAAGAAGAGTGTTGAACTGCTCCTTTAAATCCTGCTGCAGGTTTTCTTTCAAATAAAATGTAAATACAGTCAAATACAGTAGAAGAATACTTTACAGACAGTAGGTACCTGAACAGGTAGATAACAGAGTACCTGAACAGGTAGAGAACAGAATACCTGAACAGGTAGTGAAGAGAGTACCCGAACAGGTGGAGAACATTGGTTCATGTTTGTTGACAGTTTGCAGTTAAACACATTGAACTGCTGCTGCTTCAGGTGGCTGTGTAACACACACACTCTGTGGCTTCTGCAGGTAAACCTTCAGCTCATTGATCTCCATGGAAACAGCATCCATTATTAAGCAGCTTTAAACTGAAACTTCCTGGGAGAGAGGCCACGCCCACCACACACACTGGTTAAACTGTGTTTCCTGTTTCAGACTGCAGCTCTGACTCTGATTGGCTGCTCCGCTGCAGGTAAGTGACATCACCATACTACACACAGCATGATGTTCACATTAATGTGGACAGGAAGTGATGTGAACCTTTAGTTCCTCTGAATATTCCTCTGATGATGATGACTCACTCACACACAATTACTCTCACTCTCACTCACACTCACACACTCACTCTCACACTCACTCTCACACTCACTCAATCTCACTCACACTCACAGTTTTCTTTGTTCCTGTTTTTAACAAAGTGTGTGAAACTAAAACTTGTCTGATAAATCTCCAGAACAGTAAATTAAAAATCAATCTGCCCGTCAACAGACATTCAAGTGCCGACTATTAAATTCTTAATTTAAGAGATGCCAGAAATCAGAAAACTGTCGACTCTTAGAGGAAGTTTTATTTTGGTAAATCTAAAGCAGATGTGGTCAGTGTGTGTGTGTGTGTTTTCTATTCCTGCTGAGACAGGAAGTGTCACGAACCACAGAAGCAGAAGTCTGAACCTCGTCGACGCACAGAGATGGACAGATGTCCTAATATGGTCGTGAGACAGTTTTCATGATGTGTCCCGTGACAGCTGATCATGTGACAGCTGATCATGTGGCAGCTGATCATGTGGCAGCTGATCATGTGGCAGCTGATGTCAGAGAGAGGAACCGAACTTTAGATGATGTGGAGCTCTGAGATAAAAAACTGAATCAATACAAACGATCGCTTTAAAATCAGAACTCGATGTGGATCAGATCTCCTCCAACAATCCTTCTCTGGTTCTCTGTGCTCAGGAACATAAATTTAACACTGTTGTTCTTTCATCTCTGTGTGTCAAGACAGTTACGTGTATAGCCTAGCTTAGCACAAAGACTGGAAGCAAAGGGAGACTGTTAGCCTAGCTTAGCACAAAGACTCGAAGCAAAGGGAGACTGCTAGCCTAGCTTAGCACAAATACTGGAAGCAGAGGGCGACTGTTAGCCTAGCTTAGCACAAAGACTGGAAGCAGACGGAGACTGTTAGTCTAGCTTAGCACAAATACTGGAAGCAGAGGGCGACTGTTAGTCTAGCTTAGCACAAATACTGTAAGCAGGGAAGATTTCTAGCCTAGCCACGAATATAAGAATTCTAAATTATTTCAGATAAAGGTTCTAACGAGACGTTCTGCAGCAGATAAAGGTTCTCTGAGGACGTTCTGCAGCAGATAAAGGCTCTCTGAGGACGTTCTGCAGCTAATAAAGGTTCTCTGAGGATGTTCTGCAGCAGATAAAGGTTCTCTGAGGATGTTCTGCAGCAGATAAATATTCTCTGAGGACGTTCTGCAGCAGATAAAGACTCTCTGAGGACGTTCTGCAGCTGATAAAGGTTCTCTGAGGATGTTCTGCAGCAGATAAAGGTTCTCTGAGGATGTTCTGCAGCAGATAAATGTTCTCTGAGGATGTTCTGCAGCAGATAAATGTCCTGAGGATGTTCTGCAGCAGATAAAGGTTATCTGAGAACGTTCTGCTGCAGATAAAGGTTCTCTGAGGACGTTCTGCAGCAGATAAAGGTCCGCCTTGTGTGTGGTGCTGCAGTGAAACCGGAGCTCTCTGTGTGTCTGCAGCTCAAACTGAAACTTGACTCCTGCAGAAGGTCGCTGTAGAAAGTGGAAGAGAAACTTTGTGTTTCCAGTCAGAACCACAACAGAACACTGAGGAACATAATAAATACTACACAGAGTACTCACAAGTACTGTGATGTACTCAGCTAACAGTATATGATTATCTATAGATTGTTTATATCTCACAAAGAGTTTAAAGTGATTCATTTATTTATTAAAAAGCTGCACTTTCCCTTTAAATCTGTTACAGTTAACGAGGAGCGATGACATCACAGGTGATGTCTCACTGCCATCCGTCTCACGAGTCAGAAATGTGTCCGTTCTGATCGGTTCCAATAATGAATCTATAATCGATGGGTGTCAGTCACCTGTAGGCCCCCCCCCCCCCCCTCTGACTTACCTCTTTCTCACAGACGAACAGCTGATCTCCCCTCAGAACCACGAAGCGGTTCTTCCAGATCTCTCTGAAGATCCCTTTACCGCAGAACTTCCGGATCCAGCCGACCTTATCGGGCTGAACGTGCGGCGACGAGTCCTGCGCCCCCTGAAGAGGAAACAGGAAACAGGAAGCTGTCAGAAGAGCATCACCAGAGCAGGTGAACTATTTAATTAACACACAAGCTTCTTCTTCTTCTGTCATTTCAGACGTTTAAAGTGAATCCAAGTGAGATTTCAGTTTGTAGTTTTCACCAAACTCCATCAAAAAAAGCTGAATTTTATTAGTCTGACGTCCATGAATTAAGAAATATCCGTTCTGCTGACGTTCTCCTGAAGTTCTGCTGACGTTCTCCTGACGTTAAACAGCCTTTAGACTGAATATTCCCGATGTGATTCCTGATGTAAAGTAGTTTGTTCTTTCTGCAGAGTCTCCGCCTTTAAACCTTAGAACTACACAGAAAAACTACAAATACCAAACAGCTGCTGTAAACTGGATTTATTCAGACATTTTGATATTTTATTAATCCTGACTTCTTTAAATACTTTAAATCAGTTTGATATCAGAACAGAAGCTCTGATGGAACCAAAATATGTCAAATAATCTTTATAATAACAATTATACTAATGGAATATCATAATTATTAATTCCTGTGAATAATAATAATAAAAATGTTAATAATAATAATAGAAATTTGAATAATAATAATGTTTATAATAATACTAATATATAGTTATATAGTAATATATAGTTAAATTACTTTTTTTTGTTCCTCTTTTTCTCTCAGTTATTTAACTTTCACTCCAGATCTGAAACACAACATGTTTTAAAAATCATTTTAAACTTTTAATGTTTTCTCTTTTTTTACATTTTTAAAACATTTTTCAACAGCGCTCTTATTGTGAAAACCGGAAGCATATTCTCAAGTCTCAAAGGCAGCTATAACGGCCGTTTTTTGCTGCCTTCAAAATAAAAGGCGTGAAACTAATCCTTGAGGCTTTTGTTCCTTGAGCTCCGGTTTAACGTGATAAAAAAACAAAAAAACAAACGGACCGCCACGAGCCGCCGGTGTTCGGTTCGGTTAACACTCACCCATTTACCGGAGTTGTTCTTCTTCATGCTGCCGGTTGTCAGGCTTCCTGTGTAGAAACGTCCGACACTTTAACGGGGAAAACTCCCGTTATGTCTCCACAAAGAGCAGCGGAGCGGCGGGAGGAGAAGAGAAGAAGCGGGTAAAACTAAACCCCGGTTAAAGTCCCGGACCGGAGCCGCTCCTCAGCTGTTGGTCCTCGGTTTGTTTCTCTCTCTCTGCTCGTCTCCGTGCTGCCGCCGCCGGACTCCGATGCGCTCTGACCGGACAGGAGCCGCTCCGAGAGTCGGTGTCCGGTTCCTCCTCCTCCTCCGGACTCCCTGCTGGCTCAGCGGCTCCTCGGCAGACACACAGCGCCTCCTACCGACCTGATAGAGGAGAGGGGGGGTATAAGTACACACTGTGAAAGTAAAAGTACAAACGTATTAGCAGTATAATGTACTTAAGAAGCACTGATATGCAGATATGTGTTTTATTATATATAATATTAAATATTATATATCTATATATTATATATAATATTAAATATTATATATATATAATATATTATATTATATATATATAATATAATATATAATATTAAATATTATATATTATATATATATCCTCCGCTGGGGTGCCCGCCGGCCGCCACACGCAAGGCTGCCGCGGTTGTGGAGCTGTTTCCCTGCGACCTTGTTCGTTGAGTTGTAGATCCACTCGAGTTTCTCCAAAAGTTTTCAAATGCTATAGCGTCCTCAGGTTAGCGTAGCGTAGCTCCAAACACAAACAGCTCAGTTAAAATGAAACACATTCAGACATAACATGTGTAACGCTTCTCCGACGCTGTCAGCAAGAAATACCGTTCACACAAATCCATTTCCTGGCTGAGTCAGGCTGCCAGCTGCGGCGTTGACTGACCATTTCTTATGATGTCCAGCTTTTCCTGAAATGTCCTTTCTTGAGAAAGGCGTTGTCAGTAACTCCACCACTAAATCCGTTTCTCCTCCTTATTCAGCCATTGAGTGTTAAAAACACAAAGCTAGGTAAAAAAATTAATAAACTACACCAAGCAAAACTCTGAAAATGTTATCATTTCTTACATATCTTTCAATTTGAACTCTTACTCCTCCAACTAAGCTCTGCTGGCAAGTTAAGTTTTGTTTCACGATAGGCCACTGACCAATCACAGCGCACTCTGCACCTCACTGCAGAGCTGCACCTGGACACTGAGCTGACGTAGTTGTAGGCCAGCTAGCAGCTCTGACACGTCAAAGAATACGCCCAACATGTCAAACTAAAGATCTGATTGGTTGAACACTATGACAATCAACAATATTGTCCCCGTTCACTTAAACTGCACATGGATGCACTTGTGAGTCTGCAGGCCTCTGCCTCTGTTCTTACCTAGAGACACAGAGGTGAGATCTGATTGGATAAAAGCTCTACTTAAAACAAGCTGCACTGGAAGCAGAGCAACTGAGGAAGACAGTAGCTGTGCAATGAGAACATAAGATAATGGGAAAAATATGTTTATAAATTACAATACATGTAGTGTATTTAAGAAAATTATAAAATAGATATAACTTTGTGATTCTGTTTAGGCCAGCAGAGAAGGCTTTGCTGGTCCTGATGGACCACCACTGATGTACACATACATATATAAATATGTATATATTAGTGCTGGGCAAGTTAACGCGTTATTATCTCATTAACGCATTCATTAATTAACGCCGACAATTATATTATCATGCGTTAACGCAGTTTATTATTATTTTTATTATTAAGTGGACATTTTTAACACAAGAACCAGGCAGCGAGCGGTGAACAGCTGTTTGTGTGGCTTCACTCCGCCCCCCCGGTGACACGCCTGATCTGGAACCTCCCTTCACTCTGTCACCGTCGGTCCCTCCTGTCTCACACGCACACACACACGCACACACACACGCACGTGCGATCGTCTCAGTACAGGATCGTGACAATATCAAAACACATATTGTGGTGTGTTTCAATGAACATATAATCACATGAGAACAAACTGCTCTTAACTCAACTCTTTATGAGCATAACTTCCTCATGCAGGTTACTGCCACACTACAGACTACAGGTTCATGCTTCACCTACAGTCCCCTGGGTCCTAAGGCCCTCCTTGTACAGCTTCTTATCACCCTCTATGTACCAACGTACATTTATAACAAATACCACACATATTACGGTAATCAGCGTTGCATATGTGTCTGACCACAATACCAAAGAAAGAAATGATTCATTTAAATTATTGTTTTAGAGTTTTGTTTGTAATATGTATAATAAGCATCATTTAGTTATCACTACTGTAGCGTGAGCGGCTCCTGCCCCGTTTCTAGACGGGGAAGTAGTTCGCACCTAACACGGTGGTTACTCCGTCGGCTGTCCCACCTGCGAGGATATGCGTTCCTCCTTCAGGTCTAAGAACAATACCTTCGGCCTTTTATCTTACCCCGTAGCTAAATCATTAGGATTTCAGAATTAATTGTCTTCTTGAAAGTCTTTTAGGGCTAATGCCCTCGGCGCTCTCAATGGGATGTAACCCTAACACCCTGTATGTAATAGTTATGTACATCGTCTATACTTTACTATCGCCTATTGTGAACACCATTTAACATTTATGAACACTGCCAAGTCTTCACCCAGGGTACTCACCTTAAGCTCCTCTGCATGTTTCAGGCGTCACATCTTATCGCCCCGTTAACGGACAGGGGAAGAGGGTTAAACTGTTCTAAAGGACCAGAACACTGTTTTGGTTTCAGTTTCTTACTAAATGTAAGGCTGTGTTTTTATTTCTGGTTTTCACACAAGATTCACATACAACAATTTCAATTCAATGAAACAGTTACAGTGGCTACAAGAACTAATTCTAGCATTCCTCTCTGTCAGCCTTCATTGGTTTTGTAATGAGGTATTCTCGTCACTCTCTGACATTCCTACTTTTATGGGGGGTCTATCTTTCCTTTTGATGCTGTCCTCTGATAGCAAAAGGGTCTTCTGTCCTCCTCTAAGTGGGTAAGACAGAAAAGGGGGTCTTATTTGGGGTAACTAAAGGGTCTTATTTTACGTAACTAAAGGGTCTTATTTGGGGTAACTAAAGGGTCTTATTTGGGGGAACTAAAGGGTCTTATTTTGGCCATCTCTGAGGGGGTAAGAAGTCTATCCCATTCTCTAGTTGGGGTGGGGAGAAGCCCCAATCTCAGTTTTTCTGCTGCTTTTTATGCTGCTCTAAGGCTGGCACCTCCTTCATTTCATGTGTCACTCACACATGAGTCCTCCTCTCTCTAGAGCTGACACAGGATGTAACTGGTGGTAACTGGTTTGATGCTGCTAGAACCAGAAGCACTGTAAGGCTCTAGTGACTATTTTAAACAAAGTGTCTAACTCTAAACAGTTTATAAGTTAAATCACAGCGATCATAAAATAAAACAATTCACATTATGATGGTTATAAAAAGTGTAAATATGTTGTGCTGGTTATACTTTGAAATCAAAAGGGTTACAGGTTATAACAGCTATACTTTATGCTTTCATACTTTTCTACGATCTTTCTACAGTACTAATTCATTATTGAACTTTGCGCATAAGAATGAGATTAATCGCGTTTAAAAATTGTAATCGTTGCCCAGCACACATACTGTTTAACTGTAAAAAGACACAAACGTCCTCACTGAGAGACAAAGAGACAATGAGGCTTTGGTGTCGTGGGTCAGTGTGGACCTGGTCCCTGATCTTCGGCTCACATCTGGATCAGTGTAATCCGGTTCACAGCCGGTCTGGTCTGGAGTCAGTTTCACTCTGAGCTCAGATCATCAAAGTGGGTCAGACTGAGAGGAGGAGGCTGATCTGAGGATTATCTGCTGACACGCTTCATTACATACACGACAACAACGACAGCAGCAACAACAACAACGACAGCAACACCAACAATAACAGCAACAATAACAGCAACAACAACAGCAACACCAACAACAGCAACAACAACAGCAACAACAATAACAGCAACAATATCAGCAATAACAGCAACAATAACAGCAACAACAGCAACAATAACAGCAACAACAACAGCAACAACAGCAACAATAACAGCAACAACAGCAACAACCAATAACAGCAACAACAACAGCAACAATCAATAACAGCAACAACAACAGCAACAACAACAGCAACAATAACAGCAACAACATCAACGACAGTGACGACAACATCAGCAACAGAAACAATAACAGCAACAATAACAGCAACAACAGCAACAATAACAGCAACAACAATAACAGCAACAATAACAGCAACAACAACAGCAACAACAACAGCAACAATAACAGCAGCAACAATAACAGCAACAACAATAACAGCAACAACAACAGCATCAACAACAATGACAGCGACGACAACATCAACAACAGCAACAGAAACAACAATGACAGCGACAACAAATATTGTACTTTTTACTACATTTATCTGTCAGATTCAGATTATTAATTAACTGCTGACCCGGACGGAGGACATCGTCGGGCAGTGGAAAGAGCACTTTGAGGAACTCCTAAACCCGACCAACATGTCCTCTGCAGAGGAGGCAGCGCCTGAAGATCTAGGGGGAGGCTCACCCATATCCCTGGCAGAGGCCGCTGAGGTAGTCAAAAAGCTCCTTGGTGGCAAGGCGCCGGGGGTGGATGAGATCCGCCCTGAGATGCTGAAAGCGCTGGACATAGTTGGGCTGTCCTGGCTGACACGCCTCTTCAATGTCGCATGGGGGTCGGGATCAGTGCCCATGGACTGGCAGACCGGGGTGGTGGTTCCCATTTTTAAAAAGGGGGACCGGAGAGTGTGCTCGAATTACCGGGGTATCACACTACTCAGCCTCCCGGGGAAGGCTTATGCCAGGGTGCTGGAAAGGAGGCTCCGACCGTTTGTCGAACCTCAGATTCAAGAGGAGCAATGCGGATTCCGTCCCGGCCGTGGAACAGTGGACCAGCTCTTTACCCTTGCAAGACTACTGGAGGGGTTCTGGGAGTTTGCCCAACCAGTCTACATGTGCTTTGTGGACTTGGAGAAGGCTTTCGACCGGGTCCTTCGGGGGTTCTTGTGGGGGGTGCTGCGGGAGTATGGGGTGCCGGACCCATTACAACGGGCGATCCGGTCTCTGTACGACTGCAGTAGGAGCTGTGTCCGCATTCTCGGCAATAAGTCTGACACGTTCCCGGTGGGTGTTGGCCTCCGCCAGGGCTGCCCTTTGTCTCCGGTCCTGTTCGTGACTTTCACGGACAGGATATCTAGGCGCAGCCTGGGGGTGGAGAACGTTAGGTTCGGGGGTCTCGGGATCACCTCTCTGCTGTTTGCAGATGATGTGGTCCTGTTAGCCTCCTCGGATCGTGACCTCCAGCATTCACTGGGGCGGTTTGCAGCCGAGTGTGAAGCGGCGGGGATGAGAGTTAGCACCTCCAAATCTGAGGCCATGGTGCTCTGCCGGAAACCGGTGGATTGCTCCCTCCAGGTGGGGACGGAGTGCCTACCTCAAGCGAAGGAGTTCAAGTATCTTGGGGTCTTGTTCACGAGTGAGGGTAAGATGGAGCGGGAGATCGACAGACGGATCGGTGCAGCTGCAGCAGTAAAGCAGGCGCTGCACCGGACCGTCTTGGTGAAGAGGGAGCTGAGCCGGAAGGCAAAGCTCTCAATTTACCACTCGGTCTACGTTCCTACCCTCACCTATGGTCACGAACTCTGGGTCGTGACCGAAAGGACAAGGTCGCGGTTACAAGCGGCCGAAATGGGCTTCCTCCGTAGGGTGGCCGGGCTCAGCCTTAGAGATAGGGTAAGGAGCTCGGTCATCAGGAGGGAGCTTGGAGTCGAGCCGCTACTCCTTCGCGTCGAAAGGAGTCAGCTGAGGTGGTTCAGCATCTAATTAGGATGCCTCCTGGACGCCTCCCACTGGAGGTTTTCCAGGCACGTCCAACTGGGAAGAGACCCCGGGGAAGACCCAGAACACGCTGGAGGGATTACATCTCCCAGCTGGCCTGGGAACGCCTCGGGATCCCCCAGAATGAGCTGGAACATGTTGCCGGTGAGAGGGAGGTCTGGGTCAGCCTGCTTGACCTGCTGCCACCGCGACCCGACCCCGGATAAGTGGTGGAAAATGGATGGATGGATAAAACACTTAATCAAACAGATGTGACAAAGTGCTTCAGAACACAATATAAGAAATAATTGTTTAAACAAAACATCACAAACAATAATAACAATATGATAATAAAGTGGTAAAACAAGATACAAACAAAACGGATCAAATGAATTTGCTTCTTTTCTCAGATTGAAGTCACAATTTTAAAACTTCTTTGGTTCATGTTTCTGAGACTCTGCTGCCTCCTGCTGGTTCATAAAAGTATTATATATATTTAATATATACTCTTACAGCTTCATATTAATATATATATATATATATATAATACAGTATATACTATTAGAGCTTCAGATTAATATTTTATATATTTAATATATACTATTACGGCTTCATATTAATATATATATATATATAATATATACTATTACAGCTTTATATTATTATATATATAATATATACTATTACAGCTTTATATTATTATATATATAATATATATTATTACAGCTTTATATTAATATATATATAATATATACTATTACAGCTTCATATTATATATATAATATATACTGTTACAGCTTTATATTAATATATATATATATAATATATACTATTACAGCTTTATATTATTATATATATAATATATACTATTACAGCTTTATATTAATATATATATAATATATACTCAGATACTTCAGATTAATATTACTGCTCATTAGAAAATAAGACATATGAAACGTAAATCTAATCCTTTATTCAGAAAAATACAATCATGTCCTGTCATGATCATCATCATCATCATCATCTTCATCTTCATCATCAAAAGTTTTCATGTTACAAACTTAAAAATATCACAATTTGTTTCATAAAACTTAAAATTTAAAAGGTTGTTAACTTGGATTTAATTAATTTATCTAAACTCACAAACACACCATTAAACAAAAAGCTGCTGAATCTGATTTCCTGAATATTCAAAACATAATTTGCCTTTTATAAACCAAACAGAGCTCTTTAATATCCACACTTAAGAAAAGAACTTTAAATATCAACAACTCAGAGGAGCAAACAATAAGGAAATATCAAATAAACTCTAAGGGAACATTAAGGAAACAATAAGGAGGAAAGAGGAAAGAGAGGAAAGAGATAAAGGAAGTTAAATGAGAATTAAAAGCAAACAATAAGAAGAAAAACTGGAGGAAACATTCAGAAAAATCAAAGAAACCTGAAAGAAATATGAACCAACCAGTAAATAAGAATTTATTAAAAGTGAACATCAGGAACATTTAAATGGATTAAAGGAACATGTTGATGTTTGAACTTTGCTCTGATGGAAACTAAAAAAAACATTCAGTCCAAACTTTTTTGAAAACGCCGTCCAATTAGGCGCCACGTTCACATTCTAATAAATCATTTTCACATCACAGCTAATTAAAAAAGTTTGGTTCCATATTTATTATGAAAGATAGATAACTGAAAAAAATTCTCAGAAATATCTTAGTCATTACTTTTTAATCTCATAATAATAATAATAATAATTTAATCATGATTTACAAAGCCATAATAATAAAACAGCAAACATTTTTTATTCAGTCAAATTATTGATTATTATTTCTCCCACCCTGACCATCAGGGATGCCTCTGATTGGCTCCCATCATCTGTCAGTCACACCGAGTGTTTCACGGATGTTGTACCGCCCTCCCCCTGATGGGGGCGCTGCAGTCAGTCCACACAAACAGCAGGGCCAAGGTCAAAGGTCAGCACGTGTCCTTCAATCCGACCAATTGGGCGCTCTCCTCCCACAGCTTCCTCGCCACGAAGTTGTCCCGCCCCTCTGGAGCCGCCTCCTTCTCTGCACAGTCACTGACGACGAAACAAGAACAAAACTTGTTTTTGACTTACGAGGACACGACATTGGTTTACATTCATTCCATAGAAACGGATTCAAAACTACAACACAAAGAAACTCAGAGAACTGTTGTGACCGACTAGTACTAGCAGGTTAGCCGTTAGCTCACCAGCTCACCGGGAGTACTCGCTACGTCACCAAACTTTTAGCTCCGCCTATTTTAGGAAAACATTTTGATACGTTTAAGCCTTAAATATAATGTATTCCTGCTGTTTGTCCTCATATTGAGTCCTTATAATGTAGCTATTACAGATTAATACACACTCTAAAAAACTCTTAAAAAAGGGCATAAACCCCTCCCCCACACCTAAAGTATCGTCCCGATTGGCCCTCCAGACCCGGCGTCACGGCGCAGTACACGGTGGTCTGACATCCCTGACTGGGGGTCTTCATGAGCAGCAGGGAGGGGAGTCTCAGCAGCGCCCCTAGCATGGGGAGCCAGCCCTCCACGTGACGACCCAGTTCGGTCCGGATCACACCCGGGTGGAGACAGAATGACGACACACCGGAGCCTGAAGGGAGACACCGAGGCCAGTGTCAGCAGGTAGAAACAACAGGCTACTGTCAGTCCATTAATATATTTATCTGGTGTGTAGTGTTTGTGGGGACCTCTTAGTGTGTTGAATGTTTAGTGTTTGTG